ACACGGAGGCCACCCAGAATAATCTGCTATGTCTATCACACCACAGCTGACTTGATATACAATAGACGGTATTACTAATGTTGCATTACATAATACTTCGGTAATAGGTCCCTAATGTCCACAATTGCTAAGAAATGCTGAATTTAGATTGTACAGTTTGATTTTTTCCACTTAAGTTTTTCCAACTTTTCTATCCTTCACTTGCTCCCAAGTTGCTGAAAGAAAAGATTAGCGCAAATATATTCACTGCCACGTTGCAGAAAGCACTACTGTAGCTGTGACAGCAAAAGGATTTTAAAGGAAAGGTCAACAGGTAATGATAAAGGTAAATTCTCATTAGACTAAGCAACAGATTTGGGGGGAAAAAAAAATATACACACAAGCCTTCATATTCAAAGTTCTGATAAATGGATAAGGTTTCAAACTTAGAATCCATTTTTCCTGCCCTATCAGCTACTCTAAGACATTTTTTTAATTACATTTTTGTTACACTGAATACTTACATTAATTGAAAATACCTATGATGCTTGAGAAAAAAAAAAACGGGAAACTAAACTTTTTGTTGTCATCACACATTACTGCTCTTCAAAATCAAGTCTTTGTCACATGCTGCTAGAGCTGAACAATATACATCTAACAACCTACATTAATACGAGATTCAGATGGAGCTTAGGTCACCCAGGGCAGCACTCTGAGATCAAGGATCCAAGAACCAGGCTTTCCTTCTTAGAAGGCTTTCATCAATAATCCCTAGCATTAATCAAAGATTAATGGTTGTCATCACACCTTTGTCTCAGATACCTCCGACAACACTGCTCCATCTGGTAAGCATCATCTTGCTCAAGACCCAGTCTCCTCTGAAGCATTACTGGCTTACAGAAGTAATTAACATTCATCCAATAGCTAATAATCAATATATCCTAGATACATGAAAATAAACGTATATTTCCAATTCTGTGTTTTAATGGTGATACGGCTTGAGACAAGAAGCCTGCTTACAGCTTTTGAATGAGATCAGCTTGTTTGAATTTAACCACAGTATCCTTCATGACTATGGCTGAGGACAAGTTTTAGTTAGAGAACAGAACTGCTTTGCCTCAGACAGTTACCAGGTGTTCCAAGAGGTTAAAAACTCTTAGCGATGCTTCAATGACAGTATATATCAGTTTCTACTAGACAGACATACCTCCACAATCTTCTCCCTATTTTTAGTTGGATTCATGGGAGGTTCTGTGAGTAGTATTTTACAATTCTTTGTGTCAATATTAAGTTTTTCTGGTCCAAACGTATAATCCCAGAGGTGTTTCATATCATCCCAGTTCCGAACTATGCCATTCTCCATTGGATAATTCACTTCCAGCATTGAGCGTAATTCACTTGCTTCATCACCAACCATGAGATCCTGTAAAATTTTAATACAGAAACATGTCAGTGCTTGCAAAGTTTTCCAAACACCAAATCCTCAAGAATGACAGCGAACTGCTCCAGCCTGTGTCCAACTGTGTTCTTAAACAAAGCCCACATTTTAGAATTGTTTTCAGGTACTTAGGAGAGAAGTAGAATCTATTTCATGTAATATTTAAATTTGGCTGTTACCCATCCCAAATCTTTCCCAAAATAAACTTTATTAATTCCATTTTCCAATTAACCTTAAACAAACCAATAAACCCAGTTACAGCTAGATGTACTGTAAAGATAGTACAAAGACCTTTATAAGTACAGATGTTTTTCCACTGACACCTCCAAAGTTCTTTTACCAAAAACTAATTTCTAAGGGCTGAGATGCTAAACAGCACGTAAGGGTAGTAGGTGGGATTGGCAGAGTATTTTTCCATGCACATTGCAAATTTCTGTGCACAATACCAAATAAGGAATAATGAGTGGTGAGTAAGCATACCGAACAGTAGCAAAAGCAAATAAGAGATTAGGAGTTCCACACTAGACATTAAAAGAAACAATGGTTTACATATTGCCTATGTCGGTAGGGTGTGAAGAGAGACATCTAAATACAAAATATACCCTCATCCGTTCCATGCCAAAAGGCCCAAGCCAAAAACCCCAGTAATGCATTCTCACACAAATACAACCAACTAATGCATAGTTTGTACACTCATTTCACACCGATTAAGCAATCTGTTTATTAAAGTTAGTTACGCAAACATTGCAAATTTAAATTAGTAGCATCATATCTTCTCCTTTCCCACGTATTTCCCAGAGGAAGTATGCACAGTAACATCTTATCTTTGCTCCCTATTATATTCCATGCTTTTCTAAAGAAGCCTTAACTGACTTGCTCGTATTTAGCCTATAAGGACATATTTCTATGTACCAACAGCACTATCTCCATACTAATATTACACTAATTTAATTGCAAAAAACCCAGCTCCTTCATACAAAAACATGCCACAGCAGCCTGCAGTTGCTGTGGCACAGAAAACTTTGAAGTGAGGGTTACTCAACCTACTATTCAATGCAGGGAACAAAGATGCACAACAAAAAATGAGGCATCCGGTTTATAGTGCCTCTTTTAAAGGTAACCTAAACAGTTACTGTTGACTATATAGAAAAGAGGTTAACTGAAAATAGTTTAAATCAAACCATTCCTCTTCTACCCCCTCTCACTGACAAGGCATTTTATTTGTTTTCCCTTGCACAGTAGATCACACTTCAGTTATCTACTGTACAGAAGACAAAAGTCAAGACTATCATTTTAAATCACATGTACTCTAGTGAAACTGTACTGTGAAAACTCCACATGCAGCCACGTTACTGCTGAGAATTTAAGACGACAGAAACTCCACCAGTTAGAAGAATCGGAAGTCTTTTTTGCGCACTGTTCTTTGAGGCTCTATGCTACCAAACAGGACAGCCCAGGAAAAGTCGCTATTCAAATGTGCAATGGAAGTTGCACAAAACTTTCACATCCTTTTAAAACAAAGTTAAAGGACAGAACAATTTTTCTTAAAAAGCACGCTAGCAAACATGCGCACTTGGTAGGTGACGAGGAAGGAGGACAGCACAACTGAATTTGCAGAGAGGAGCCAGTACTGTGACATCCAGTATTTCCACCACTTCGGTACTCAGTAATATTTGTCTAACTGAAATCTGAAAGTTTTTTCAAGTTCTTGGTTTGTAATGTTAAATATAGCAATTTCTACTGTTAAAGATGCTTAGCTCATGTTGATCTTTAGGAGTTATTCTTACATCTTGCAAAACTACAGACTATGTAGCATTTGGAAACAATACATAACATTTTCTCATGAATTAGTTGCTAGTAAACCAAAGCAATGAACAACGTCCAAAATAAGTATGTATCCAAATGTAAAATGTAGGACAAGACAGAACAATTAACAGCATCAAAAAATAACATAACAGCTACTAGGTCCCATCAAGCAAAAATGGCAAACAAGCAGCACAGGGGCACCTCACTTACCATCTTTTTGTTATTCTACTTCAACAGGTCAAGAAAGGTGAAGAAAGAAGGTAGAAGCAAGAAAGTCAGAAAAGGCCTAAATGAAATTCTCAAATTATTTTTAAGTACACAGTAGAAATAGGCTGAAAAGAGATGCATGTACAGCGAGAAATGATCTCAGTTAGTTTAGTTAGGGCCAAGCTAACATTCTCCAGATCTCAGATTAAAATGTCTCTTTAAAGGAAGCTATTGCTACACGTCCCTGGCATGTCACGTTTACACATCTTACATTGCAAACAAGATCAATATACCTGCCTTTTTCTCATAAATAGGATTCCATGCATAAGTATTCTGTAACACTGGAGTTTTACCCTGGGCAAGGTGTTTATATGAACTAGACAAGACTGCACAAGGCATTTGACAACCATAACTAGCTCTGACAAATGCTAAATTTAAATTTTGTTTTAAATATTCCGCTTTAAACACCCAAGAACTGAAAACTATAACATAAAAGCATTCACCTATAAGCAGGCTAATCTGTTCATGTATCACAGAAAAAATACCCAAAAAGAATCAAATAGGAGATATTTACTTAAATTATGGCATCTACTCTCAGAATAGAAATGAGCAATCATGAAGTGTAGCAGTAAGAGCAGTGTCTCAAAGCTCTTTACCTACAGCCAGCTATG